AAATTTTTTTTATTCCAGTTTATGCTGTTTGATTATGGCTTCGAATGTCGTAGTTGGAAGCTGGAAGTTGTTAGCCCTGGCTGGCCCGTGCGCGTTGTTGAAATGCGACTAATAATTTCTGACTGGCACATAACTGAACAAATGTAAACGGGTTAAGGCGGGGCCCCTGGGCTGCAGCCCAGTCAAGCCCAATGGTAAGTCCGGCCATGATGGTGACCCATACTCAGAATTTGTGAGTATGAAAAATTACATTTTCAGTTGGGTTAAGATCAGGACTCTGGGCCTTTTCATTATTTCAATGTTTTCAGCTTCAAGGAACTGCTTTACCTGTTTTGAAGTGTGACAGGGAGCATTGTCTTGCATGTAAATTAGGGATGGGCATTTTTCAAAATATTTTCCGAATATTTGTTTATTTAAATGACCTTTAATGAGAAAGACGTTTTTTTAATGAAACATTATTTTTGTCACCATTTCTGAACAATCTTATCACAACAAGCTTATAAATTATATCCAGTTTTTTTCCATTTGAAAACATAAAACGTGTGCAAAAAAAAAATGTACAGAAAAAATTAAAAAACTGCTATAAGGCACATACATATACACTCGAGTTGGCATCGTGTTTGCATTGTTTCACATGTTCTTGTTGGAGAAAAAAAAAACATGTACATGATCGGGTGAAAGTTGGCTTCTTATGCCGTGTGTCCATCAAAGTGCCTTTAGCCAGCTGAAAACGGCAGGCGATCTTCAGAAAATGCTCAGCTGTGAACACTTGTGAAGCACTACAGAGGCAGTTTTTTTTTTCAGTTGAGAGACGCTCTGGTTGCTGTGATACAGAATAGCCGCTGAAGTAATGTGGCAGATGCATCACGAACGAAATGCATGCATTATTTTTCATATCAATATTAACTTCTCCATTGTCATTCAGTCGTAGCACAGGTAGGATGTGACAGTGGTATTTGCCCCACCCCTCCTCCACTGTGATTGGACAGCTGACTGAAAACTGAAAGTGATGAGCGGTGCATTTTGCCCAAAGTTGAACATTCATTAGTGTTTTGTTGTGCTGCTGGCGTTTTAAAAATTGTGGCGCTCCCATTGAAAAGCATTGAAAAAATATGCTAGCCTCGGGGAAAAAAACGCTTTGGTGGATACACGGCCTTAGTCTGTTAACAATAAAGCTGGCCGCAGAGAAAATGAGTGGTCTTCTCGGCTGATGTGCCATTGTTTTCTTCATTCGACTGGTCGTGACGTTTTTTTGTTTGTATTTCATATGATTCCTCATTTTAGTGATAACTCCGTTTCACTTGACAAAGTTTGCCTGCTCAGGATTTATCAGGGATTCACTGCATTTACGGCCAGCAAAGCAACATTTTAGCGAAATTCGAATGGTGTTTTTATTTTTCGAATAATTATTGCAAATAGAATATTCGACTATTCGTGCACACTCCTAATGTAAATTGCAGGCTGATTGGGAGATGCTTGCAGGAAAGGTACTCCATGTTGCTGGAGAAGTTTCTGATAAACATTTGCATTCACCCTGCCATGTAGCTGTATAAGAGGCCCAACTCCTGCTGCAGAAAACATCCCCCAAACCATGACACTTCCTCCTCCACCTTTCACTGACTTCTTTACGCACTTGGCTTCGGTGTTTCCCCAGTTTGACGCTGAAAATAATGTTTCCTATCTGACCCAAATAAATTAAACTTGCTCTCATCACTAAAGTGAATTTTGGACCAGTTCTCCTCTCTCCACACAACATGCTTCTCAGCAAAGGTGAGCCTAGTGAAAGATTATGTGTAGTTCAATTCAGATGCATTTTCATTGTGACTGTGCCTTAGATGCAATCAACTTAAACTCTGTTTACAAAAGTGTGACCCAAATGGCCCATATAATTAGCCCATTAGGTCGGCATCAGGTCAAAGTATCATGGGCTGCCCATGGGAGAGGTCCTATCAGGTCAGAACGTTGGTCATTGCAGAGTGCTCTTTCAGTCCGACTTCTCTTAAACAGATCCTTAACCTCTTCAGCGTTCAACTGGCGAGCGATTCCAGCTGCAGTGTTGAACCGATTACCCATTGAGAGTTTCCACATTATCCTATCCTCTCGTGCATTTGCCAGATTAACAACAATAACTTGAAGGTATCTGTAAGTGTTCTCTAATTTTGATCAGAGTTCTTTTTCAAATATCTAATTTAAGTTTTTTTTATACTGTGCTTCAGAATACAATTAATTCATGAAATATGCCTGAAAAACTGCCCTTCTACTCCTGTTTGGATCATTTTAAATAGGACTAAACAGTGACCTTGAAATTTAGAAAATTGTAGGTTGTTCTCCACTGTATAAGTAAAATTCAAATGAATTTTTTAACAATAAATATGACTCCAGTGTGATTTTACAACGGATCTTAACAGCCCTAAAAATACATAATAATAAAAATAAAAACAAAATTCCTCCCTCAAATTTTACGCAGAAAACACCCTAGAACCCTAGAAAAACCAAGACTCCCTAAAACACCTAGACACTTGCAGCCCCGTTGGGTTCTCTGGACCCAAGTTTGAAAACCCCTGGTTTAACCCTAAGTTTAAAGTAGCCTTAATCCAGCGTTTAAAATTTGTTATGCAACTATTATGCAAAAAGCCCAAAACTGTGAAAGAACAGACTTGTATAGTTGTATAGATTCACAAGGTCTTCTACACATATATCCGTTAATTATTACTGTGATCTTTTAACTATAAAACAGCACTTGGTAAACCTTTTATCTTGACTGTTTTCACTCTTAGGGTGCTTTCACACCTGGCCTGTTGTTTCGGAACCTGGCGCGTTTCCCCCCTTAGCTCGGTTCGTTTGGGCATATGTGAACACGGCAATCGCGCTCGGATCCGCAACAAATCAATCGGTCCGAGATCGCCTGTGAATGTCTGTGGGTGAGCACGTCTTTGCCATTCAAAAATCAAAGCGCACTTTTTTATTTTATAATGCCGTCTTATTGCTCTTCTTCCTAGTAGGTGCATTTTAAAAATGTTTTCCCAATCAATCCTAGACTCCTGCTCAAAATGATAAATTATTATAAGGACAGCTACAAAAAAACAACAACAATAAGCCCGCGAAGCTGTTATCATTCCATCCTGATGGATGACATGCGTGACAGCTAAATGGAATCCTGGAAAATAAACCGTGGAACTTTGACCAATGAGAGAACCGTTTACTCGCTCGTGACTTGTATTAACAAATTTGGTCCGTTTACAAACTTTGCCATATGAAAGCGAACCGCACCAAGAATAAAAAGCAACATTGTAATAATTTTAATCCCTTTTTCGGAACAAAGCAATCGATCTACAGGTGTGAAAGCACCCTTATACTACAGACTTGACCTGGCCTGGTTGCTATAACATTGGCATCACAAGCATTAGATCTAGACTTCCTGAACTCTAGCTGAACTATAGCCCCCACAAGCCATAAGCCCTTTCACACAAACAGTCTTTACTGGTAAATTTTCCGGTATGAGAAATTTTAACTTTACCAGTAAATTACCGGTATCATGCTATGTGTGAACAAAGAACAGGATTACCGGTATGAAGCACATACAAGGGAAGAACACTCTGCCATAAGAAATCTGCTTTAGGCCAATCATAAATCATACTGTTTACAGTAAGCGCTGCTGCTTTTTCTATGTAAACACTTGCAGACGGATTTCTGACTGTTTCGCTGTGTCCATTCATCAGTGCCGTTACTATAGTAACTTGCAGTATTATAGTACCTATTATGTGACTCATGTTTTTGAGAGCAAAAACCTGTTCTGTGTGATCATCCCCTTATGCCTGTCACTCAGAAGTAAAAAAAAAAAAAAAGATCAGAATGGACAGATAGTGAAACTAAAGCGCTTCTCCTCATCCAAGTGGATAAAGACACCGGCATAGCTTTTTAAAGGTAATTTCCTATGATTGACATCACAGAGTTTACCTGTATATTGGTACTGATGTCTGAATAGTATCTTACCGGTAAAAAGACGGTTACGTAAAGCGTTTCATAAACACAATTCAAACATAGTTAACAAAACTTTCCTTTGAACAAATTCTCTTTCTCAATCATCCTTGTAGCTGCTCCAGCATTTCTGGTCTATTTCCGGCCTCTCGATGGACCCTTCTAAGATACTCGAGGAGTTCCCACGCTGGCTAGAGCGGCTGTCTGCACGTCACCACGGCAACATCATAATCATCATTGACTCCATTGACCAAATACAGGTAACACTTCCTCAAATAACCTTCCTCATTGAGCTGTGGTGTGTTTGTCTGTGCTCATGTTTAATGATCTGTGCTGGTGAAGACAAAACTAAACACCCACATTTAGTTGGGGTAGTTCTTAGTAATTTATTTTACATTTTGTCATCAACTGTTTACATAATGCTAAAATTTCTTTAATTTCAGCAGAAATTTTCAGCTTTTTTTTAATAAGGAAAGTGTATATATCTTTCATTAGGGATAAATTAAATAAGTAGTGTTGTCAAAATTAACATGTTAACGAACGTCAAACGAGCACAGAAAAGGTACAAGTGACAAGGGAGCTTCAGTAGAACAACAGTGAACTGTGGTCAGATTAGATGTTGTCAGGCCATATGTCAGTAAAAACTATTTTTACTGTCGTGTCAGCCATTATACTGTGCTCGTAGCACGTGCTCTTCAATTGCACACAAATGTGGCGGCTCGCGCTGTAGCCTCAATCATTTCATATTAAAGCACAAATGAAACTTTGAGCATGCAGTGTAGTTATGTCGTCAGTTAAGTCATGAAGTTACTAAAAAGGTGATTCAAGCTGCCTTAAAACTGTGCATGTATGTAAGTATTTGTTATATATGAGTCACATTTAAGACTCATAAGTCTCCCTCATCTAACACACCTGCTTCAACTCGTCAGCTCATTATTAGAGGCTTTAAGACCTGAAGTGGGTCAGAAAAGGTAAAGAGTTGTGAGAAAATACGATGCGTGTCAGATCTGTGTCATGTTCAGCAGCGGCAGCTCTTAAAACAGCCAAAATAACCTAATAACCCAGCTGCTGTGATGTCTGTTAATCAAAGAACAAAAGAAAAAAGAGGAAATCAATAACTTTAGTAGCTTTAAGGATTAATCTGTATTTAATTTAGAATTTAGTGTTCGATAATTTTATTCAATTTCTGTATATTTTCTACTTGCTGAAGGGCACATGTAGCTAAATTTGACATTTATTATATTGGGTTTATGTGAAGATTGTTTTAAGTTCACTTAAATTATAAGTTGTTTTTTTTTTTTAAGCCAGATGTTAAAATTGATAGCTCTCAATTATACTGTAATGTTGAATGGCTATAGCCAATGGTTAAATATTAGAGGGAAAAAAAAACTATTTCGTAGAGACCTCAGTAGTATTGGTATCAGTGATATTCACCTTCAGTGATAAATAAGATGCAATTAAACAAATATTAAAAATATACTGTATTTCTGTTGTTTCTACATTAATTTGAAGATTGAATATGAAATTATTGCAATATAAAACTAAATAAAAAAACTTGGTATTAATCGCGATTAATTTCAGAATGTGCAATTAATTAGTCAATTTTTTTAATCGATTGACAGCACTAGAAATAAGAGATTTTGTTTATTAGATATTTGTTGGTGACTAGATATTTGTGTGTGTGTTTGTGTATACACACACACACACACACACACACACACACACACAAACAATGTGGTTTTAAATGACATGTAATCAGATCTCAAAATAAATATCCATTTGTCAGAGTGTACATTATAAAGTTGAGATGCCTACTTTAGCATTTAAAATTATTTATTTTAATTTTGTTGTTTTATTTTTAGTTTATTTTGACAAAATTCTATAGAAAATAGCATACAATTTTAATATTTATTAGCCATTTATACATTTTTGACCATAGCATAAAATAATTATCAGCTTTTCATTTTTGGCCCAAATATTTATATCTAATAATATTCTTCGGCATGATCAGTTTGCTATTTTTGCATTCCCTAGAATGCTGAGCGGCACATGAAGTGGCTGATTGATCCTCTTCCTGCTAATGTGAGAGTGCTGGTGTCAGTTAACGTGGAGACCTGCCCACAGGCATGGAGGTTTGTGATGCACAAACACACATAACAACTCATTTGATTTCAGATATTATGCATGTATGTAATATTATACACAGGTAGACAATCACAAAACATATTATACTATTTAGATTGTGGCCCACGCTGCACCTGGACCCACTCAATCCCAGAGAGGTGAAGAGTGTCATCAGCACAGAATGTGTGAACAGCGATATCAAACTCACCAAAGATCAGGTAAACATCCTTGTCAGTCTGTGTTCATCTTTGTTTATGTATGCTGAGTTTGAGTATCGGTCTGTACTGCTTGCAAACAGGAAAAGAAGTTGGAGAGACATTGCCGTTCAGCTGCAACATGCAACGCGCTCTATATCACACTACTAGCAAGACTCATTACACAGTAAGTAGATGTGTGAGTGAGTGGATTGTACATTTGTAGTGTTTGTGGGTCTATGTCTGTTTATTAGGGATGTAACAATTCACCAGATTCGCATGAAAATCGCATTCGATTTTTTGCCCAGCCCTAGGTGTGTGTGTTGTGAGAGTGAATGTGTGAGAGCGTTACAACTTTTTTTTTTATTGCTGTACTGATACAGCAGAGTAATTTAATTTAAATAATTGCCCCATTTTTTTTTAGATTTATTGTACAATATTTACAATATAAATGAAAAGTGACATTATCCAGTGACAAAGCTATCAGTTCATTTTGAAACGACTAGACGGGCGTGGTTTAATTAAATTGAAGCATTTATTATACAATATTTACCCCAAAAAATTATATGTAATATACTGTATGTATATTATATGTAAAATAATGTTAATATAATATAATATAAAAAAAATATAATGTAATATATAAAATAATAATAATAAATTGTGGTGGGCCAGTCCAATTAATCTGTCTCTCATTAGCACACACTTTGTTTATATGAGCATTTTTATGTTTAATCTGTCAGATCCAGATCCTCCTGGACATTGGAGAGGACTCTACAGCAGTGTGCGTTGTGTCAAGATACAATATCACTATACAGACTGGGCTTGAAGGTTGCGCTAGACTCACTCAGCACTGATCAGGAAAAACACACCATGAAAGAGGTCACCTGTCCACTTTGAAGAAGAGTTTCACTAAAAAAAACACTACAGTACACAGTTTAACTTATTTATTTGTATTTCTTCTCGTGCAGCTATTGTGCCTGGTATGTGCCAGTCACAACGGCATCAGTGAATCAGAGGCTTTGGAGCTGTTCCCAGACCTGAGTTTTCCTGCTCTCACCTCACTGCTCCACAATCTGGAGAGACTCCTCATCATTACCTACACCTGTGGTCTCATTCGCTTTCAGCACCCACAGGTGTGTATGTCTCTGACATAGCTGTACCTTTGAAGCTATATTTGGCAACATGTCCCTTAATGTTTTTGTGGATGAAAGTAAATATGTTTCACTTTAGTTTACCTCAGTTATTTCTCTGTGTATCATTTCCAGGCATGTGAAGCGGTCAACCAAGAGTTTCTGGATGGGGGCAAATGTCATGGATCCTACAGAGAGAAAATCATTCGGTTCTTCAGTGAACAGCTGAAGTAAGAATATCTTATTGATTATAATGAAGGGATGTGATTTTTCTGTATTAATATGTATTTCTGTATTTTCTGACCTGGGAAGAGAATTGTGAATTGTGTAAATCTGAGGGAAAAAAATTAGTGCGTTTCAAGTAGGGGTGTAACGATTCATCGATATGGATCGATACATCGATACGATGTCTGACGATACGATGCATCGATGCCACACGTAAAATATCGATATCTGTAGTCAGCCTTTATTAATAGGCACCTTTAATAGGCCTAATAGGCACCTTTAGTTTGGCACTGTCCACATTTTCACATAATGTCCATCTATGCATTACCGCCAACGCGTGCATTCTCGTTCAAACTCACGTATCAGGACTCGATATAAGGACTGCCCGAAGGCACAAGGTGAGCATAAAAGACGCTCGGGATTGTTTGCGGAACAGTCGAGCGCTGTGTGAGAAGTTTTCTGCGCACACATCTAAAGCGCACGCACACAGACAGCTGTGTAGGGATGGGCGTATCGATCCGAAGTATCGATATGTCGATACTGACGCGAGTATCGAAAGTATCGATACTCAATAATTGAGGAAATCCTGTTAAAGGAAGAAATTACATATACTTTAAAGATGAAAAAAAAATGCTTTTACAATGGGCTGGGAAAAGTGGTTGATATATAGAGAACAAAACATCCTCAGCTAAGTAAACAGTAATATAAGAGACAAAAAAGCTATAGCAATAGTTAACCTCACCTAACTAGCCTTGTTGTTCTTGTTTTTGTTTTTTTCTCTTTTTTTTTCTCTTCTCTTTAACTGGGGGGATGGTACATATGTATGTACAAATATATGCGTGTATATATGCATATGTATATACAAGTGTATTTATAATTTATACAGTGAAGACTATGCAGTTATTTTACATTTGATTATTACATTTCTGTAGCGTACCTGAAAGTTTATTTTAGACTGAGCTGAAAACCCTGAAAAGCACTGTTTATTGAACTTGTGTCTTTGTTGTGTTGTATTTATTTTCTGCTATTGCTTGTAATTTGGTTATTCTGTAGAAAATATTTTTAGCACTGAGCCCATAGCAGCCAGAATTGTTTTTCCAATTGTTTATTTTCTTTATTATTTAAAAAAAAAATGTGTAGGCCTATTTTTTTGTTGTGAATATCCCAATTGAGGGATTGAGAACATTTCAGATAAATGTTCATGTTATATATTTTGGTTGCATTTTTTGAGTTAATAAAAATGTAGATGGTTGTTTAAAATAGATATATAATATCATAATATCGATATATCGATCGATATACTCCTGTATCGAATTGAATCGTAATCGTATCGTAGAATTTTTTGAGGTATCGGCAAATATCGTATCGCTGGGTATGAGAAACGTTATCGTATCGTATCGTGACGAACCATCCGATTTACACCCCTAGTTTCAAGGCTGTGAGCGGAACACCCTTTACATGAAAATGTCATACTCGGCAAGTGCCAAATTGGTGTTGGCGAGTAGATGACACGGTGATATTCTGGCTGCTGCATGTTTCAGAGTGAAGCGGTACTGTGTTCATTTTCACACGAGCAGCTCATGGTCTGGTGTTTTCAGTGTCTTTGTTTAGTTCAGCTCAGTTCACAGTAAATGCTGCTACTTACAAACTCCATTTATTTTATTATTATTTATTTTTATTTTTTTTATTTATTTGCAGTACAATAGTATTATTGCAAAAGTAATGTATTTATTTATTTTATAATTTAAATAATATAAAAAAATAGTAATTTTTATAATAATAATAATTATTGTTGTTGTTGTATAGTCATTTTGTCCTTAGCTGATCACATGTCTGATATTGTCTAAGAGCAAAGCATTTATCAACAAATAGCTGCCATGTTGGATTGTTTTGTGATATCATTTCTGTTGGTTCAGGCAAGACAGAGTGACGTGGAGGGTGGCTGATGAATTGCCATGGTTACTGCAGCAGCAGGAAGATCAAAGTAAACTCCAGATGAGTCTGCTTAACCTGTTTGTGTCCCAGAACCTGTACAAGAGGTACATTCTCACGTTCCTGCTGTATCTCTCATGTGTGAATATGTGTCTGAAATAACATCTTGCTGCTGATGTGCGTTCTCAGGGGTCATTTCTCTGAGCTGCTGACATACTGGCAGTTTGTTGGTAAGGATAAATGCTCGATGGCAACAGAGTATTTCGACTCATTGAAGGAGTTTGAGAAGACCTGTGAGAGTGAACAGAGCATGAGCCGACTGGCCAACCTGTACGAGACACTGGGTTGCTTCCTCAAAGACCTGGGACTGCTCAGCCAGGTGGTACAGTGGAAAGACAGAGGATCACCTGTATTTTATTTTATATCATGTATAAATGATGTGAACATGTTGTTTTTAAGGCGGTGGCCCCCTTGCAGCGCTCCTTGGAGATCCGTGAGACGGCTCTGGATCCGGACCACCCAAGTGTGGCTCAGTCCCTGCACCAGATTGCGGGGGTTTACGTTCATTGGAGGAAATTTGGAAACGCAGAGCAGTTGTACAAACAAGCTATGGAGATTTGTGAAAATGCTTATGGCCCTGAACACAGCACTGTCGCTAGAGAACTAGACTCACTCTCGCTCCTCTACCAGAAACAAAACAAGTACAGCACATTTTTCTTAAATTCATACTCTGTGCAGATATTGCAGAGGCTTTGTTCCAAATCCTAGTGAGCTGCCTTCTGAGGCACAAATGGGACATCAGTAAGCTGAAACTCTCTACATAATGCTTTATCACAAATTTTGACAGTCTTGACAGTCAAATAAGCACAAGAAACATAGTACACAAATATTAGATGAAATATTTCATTTTTAAATATATATATAACTATATTTTATAGGTCATTCTATATTAAAAGAGAACATTTGGGGTTAGAGATTTTAAGTATTTATTTATTTATTTTTGCTCACCATGGGCAAAAACATAGTAAAAAATGTAATGTTACAAAATATATGTTTTAAAATAACAGTTTTCTATTTTAATATTTTTTTAAATGTAATTTATTCCTGTGATGGCGAACCTGTCTTTAGTGCCACATGATCCTTCAGAAATTATTCTAATATACTGATTTGGTGTTCAAGGAACATTCATTATTATTACTGTTGAAAATGATTGTTTTTTTTTAAAAAATTTTATAGAAAACAAAATAGTCACATTTGAATAGTAGTTTAACATGTAACATTGTAAATGTCTTTGTCACTCAATTGAATTGCATCCTAAGATATGTATGATCCCCAACTTTTATGACCCAAGTGCCTTTGTTTTTATAATTTTACAAACTGACAACCTTCGCTTTAGGAAACCCTATGCAGCTTTCTAGGATTTGGAAAAGATACCTTTAGACCTTTCGTTTATGTTTTGTACTTTAATTATTCATGATGTAGTTAATGATTTAAAATTAGGGCTGGGCTAATTCTGTTTTTATTTTATCTAGATATGAGCAGGCTGAGAAGTTGAGAAAGAGATCAGTCAAGATCAGACAGAAGACAGCACGACAGAAAGGCCACATGGTAAGGAAAGGCCAAACAATAATTTTAGCCACATTTGTGTCTCCTTTGGTCCCACTCAATGAACTGTGATTCCAGAGAAGTGAAAAAAAACAGTATCTTTCATACTGTATTTGTGTGTGTTCTTTTTAGTATGATTTCGCTCTCTTGAAGCGGCGGGCACTGCAGTTAGAGGAACTTACTCTTGGCAAAGACTCGGCAGATTGTGCCAAGACTCTAAATGAGCTTGGAGTGCTTTATTACCTGCAGAACAACCTGGAGTGAGTAAATCATCCTTTCATATATACCAGTACATTTGCAAAAGAACATAGGGTTCCCATTCATCCTGGAAATTTTGGAATTGTGCAATGCAGATTTTCAGTCATGGGGAAATAAGAAAAACACCTAAATGTCCTGTAAAATATTTTAGTGTAATAAGTTTTCGTCACTAACAGTTTTAGTAGATATTAATAATACAAGTGAAATGCAACCATTCTTGATACAAATGACAATTAAATTTCATATTCATTTTGAGTATTGTTGTAGTTTTTGAATGAATTTTTACTGAATATTTTGGACATATTTCCTGGCTGTTCAAAGCTGTTGTGAAAAGAAAAAAACAACACTTTTTACAGTATTTGCAAGCCTTCTTCCCCATGACTGCTCGATTGAGTTCAGTCAGGTCTATCTCGTCTACATGCCTGTCATTGGGGTGAAAATATGGGTGAAATATTGCACACAGCTCTTGTTCGTTCACATCTGGGTGCAGATCATTCACAATCAATGACCTCGATAGATCAGAGCTGCTCTCCATTTCTTTAGGTTTGTATTTCCTCTTGCAGACCTATCTGCACTGCAGGACTTCCTCTAAGTTTGAGATGGTGTCATATATACCAAACCTGTCACTGTGCCTTGCTAGGACTTTAATAGTCATGTTTTGGGATGTGACGCATGTTGTTTTTTTCATAAGCTCCAAAAAATTCATAATATTCTTCAATATATATATATATATATATATATATATATATATATAATTCAGATGCAAAAGCCTCTAAATGCCATCTGAAATTTTCTTCTAAAATTAGCATTTTT